CTCATTTCATAATCTATTTCACACCTTTTCATTTCATTGGCGCTAGCAGCCATAAATATAATATCATTTTTGGCACGCTAGCCGTATTTCATATTTCATGCTTACCCCTTTCATTTTCAAACATCATCATGGATTATAAACATTAAGGCATGTCTAATCAAGAACTTTAAGTAAAGATATGAGCAATTAAGAGTCTTTAAGCACATCGAGTCTTCTCACACAATTTGGCATAATAACTTTTATTTGTAACACGACTTGAGGTCATAACATTTCAATACGCAACCCATACTTTGAACACATTCTCAAAGGATAATATAATATGATAAGAGCATTCGGAACACGTTTTGAACATATATCTTTCGACACAAAATTTATTCGGAATAGTCAAATTTATAATGAATAACTCAGAACATGAGAAATAAGAACTTGGCCCATCATACTTGAGATTTACGAGAACATCGTGGGATTCCATTCTAAGAGAGAATTTTAGCCAACATACCTCGCTTTTAGTTTTTTTTAAAATTACTACAATGATCCGGAAATCCTAGCAACTTCGATCTATTTAGAGACATAATAAAATTGAACCATAGTTAGGAAGATATGCGTTGTTTCAGCTCATTTAAGAATTTTATCAAGCTCTAGGTGTGCATTATGATTTCAAGGTTCTCCTATGGTGGATTCCTTCATCCCACAACCCAATGTTTACCCATTTATGCTCAACAACCTTCCCACAAACCTTGTTGGTACATGCATGCATAACGCGCCATGAAATGGTCCCAAAACTGGGCAGGCCTAGTCAGGTCTGCGGCCGTTATGTAGCCTGCAAAAGGTTATGTGGTCGCATAACGCGCCATGAAATCTCCCTCCGAAATGCCATGGTCGCATAGTGGACCGCAAAAATGCCATGTTCAGCACAATATTTCCTTCAACTCTCCGACGTATTGTACAATCCAAAAGTCCGTACCACGGCGAGCAAGCTCGCCGTGAAGAATTTCAACAATCCTCAAACTTATTAGCCTACCTCGACACCACAAAACCCCGGGTTCTAGTAAAATTTTACGAGGCCATACAATTTATGGTGAGTTCATTTAGTGATTTCATGGCTTCGAAACGGATCTTGGCACGTTTGAGGACGAACATTTTTTTAAAAGGGGGAGAATGTATGACCTGATCGGTCGTTTTGAGAATTACATCCCGCTCACTGGCTTAAGGTCTCAAGTAGTTTCATATTATGTATTATGTCTTGTGTGAATGGTCGGATTCGGTTTTTCGATGATTTGAGATTGATTTGGAAGAATGATTCTTGTTTTAGAAGCTTAAACTGTAAGAGTTGAGCGGAGTTTGACTTTTATGTAAACGACTCCAGAATGGTATTTTGATAATTCTAATAGTTTTGTATGGTGATTTTGGACTTAAGCGTATGCCCGGATATGGATTTGGAGGTCCGTCGGTTGATTTGATGCATTTTGGCAAAAGTTAGAAAGTTGAGGTCTAGAAGGTTGAGAGGTTCGACCGGGAGTTGAATTTGTTGATATCGGGTTTGGATTTCAATTCCAAAAGTTGGTATAGCTTCGTTATGTCATTTGGGACTTACATGCAAAATTTGAGGTCATTCCAGGTTGATTAGATATAATTCGACGCAAGTTGTAAAAGTTGAAAGTTCATTAGGCTTGAATTGAGGTGCGATTCATAGTTTAGCCTGCCTCAGCACCACAAAACCCCGGGCTCTAGTATACGGGACCTTACATCCTCCCCTGTTTAAGATCATTCGTCCTTGAATGAGGGTCAAAATCCACCATCAGCATCCAATGAGACTCGGCTCTTAGTTCACACACCAGCAGTTCCAAATTTGACTAACTCCCCAAATTTCCAAAATTTTCGGCAGCGTTTCCCCTACAATTTGGCCTATCTACCTGTCAGAGAAACCCATAACCCAAACCTAACAACATATACATAATCCAACGACGTAACATAACATGAAAACAACACCAACCGTGGCCTCATAAGCAATATATAATACCAGAAAGGAACACTCTTAACATCAACTGTACAAGTAATACAAAATTCATAGAAGGTAAGCTTTTAACATTTTCATAGAACACAACTACCTAATTACATAGTTATTCAAGCAAATGAGGGTACTTCTTCTTTATCCTTTCCTCAGCTTCCCAGGTGGCCTCTTCAGCCTGTTGGTTTCGCCATAGCACTTTCACATAGGCAATCTCTTTATTTCTCAGCTTTCGAACCTGCATATCAAGAATGGCATCTGGAATCTCCTCATAAGTCAATTCTTCATTAACCTCAATAGTCTCAACTGGAACAATAATCGACGGGTCTCCAACCACCTTCTTCAAAATGAATACATGAAATAGCGGGTGCACTAAAGACATCTTTGGAGGTAGTTCAAGCTTGTAAGCCACCCGACCAATCCTCTGAATGATTTTGTATGGTCCGACATACCTCAGACTCAATTTCCCTTTCTTACCAAACCGCATTATACCCTTCATGGGGGAAACCTTCAAGAATACCCAATTATCCTCTTTGACCTCCAAATCCCTACGACGCACATCCGAATAGGACTTCTGACGACTCTGAGAAGTTTTCAACCATTACATAATGATCTTAACCTTCTCCATAGCCTGATGCACGAGGTCTGGCCCTATCAACTCTGCCTCCCTAATCTCGAACCATCCAATAGGAGATTTATATCTCCTACCATATAAAGCCTCGAATGGTGCCATCTGAATGCTAGCATGATAACTGTTGTTGTAGGCAAATTCTATGAGTAGCAAATGATCTTCCCAGTTACCCTTGAAGTCAAGAACACAAGCGTGCAACATATCCTCGAGCGTCTGAATGGCCCGCTCTACCTGCCCGTCGGTCTGTGGATGAAAGGCCATACTAAGATTCACCTGAGTACCCAAACCTTGCTGAAATTCCCTGCAAAAGTTAGCTGTGAACTGTGCCCCTCGATCTGAGATGATAGAAACCGGAGTGCCATGCAACCTGACTATTTCCTTGATATACAACTGAGCATACTATTCTGCTGTGTCGGTAGCCTTAATAGGTAAGAAGTGTGCTGATTTTGTGAGTCGATCCATAATCACCCAAATCGAGTCGAACTTGCGAGGAGCGCGAGGGAGTCCTACCACAAAATCCATATTGATCATCCCTACTTCCACATTGGAATTTCTATGTTTAGTGCCAACCCACCGGGCCTTTGGTATTCGGCCTTCACTTGCTGACAATTTGGACATCTTGTCACAAAGTCCGCTACATTCCTCTTCATATCATTCTACCAATAGACCTCCTTAAGATCATGATACATCTGTGTAGAGCTTGGGTACACGAAATACCTGGAATTGTGTGCCTCGGTCATGATTTTTTCCCCGGACCCCATCTACATTTGGAACACATAATCGTCCTTGGTACCTTAGTGTACAATTATACTATAGTCATTTTTACGCCTTTCGGTTTAGGTATTATTTGGTCGAATCCTTGCTTCCAAAATGTTTTAGTTTCATCTTCATTTACATAACATGGCAGTAGGTATCCGTGTTTTAGCAGTCCATTGACGCAAGTTTCTTTCTCTGTATTTGTTGCTTTGGTTAGATTTAGTGCCTTAGTATTTTTTTTTCTTTTCTGTATGTTAGAGGCATTACATGACTAGTTATATATTAAGTTTTAACATTGCATATTAGATGAGTTTTGTTGAGATTTTCCTCTGTGTATCAAGTATCTTGTAAACTTTTATTTTTTTCAACTAGTTAGGAGGTGGATGTTTATATTAAAAATCTTTATTTGTAAACTATGTAATAATAGGACTTGTTAATCATTGAGATATATATGATTTGGCATTATTTAATCCTTTTAACGTAATATGAAAACGGAAGATATTTTTGTCAATGTGTTCTGGGATTTTATAGCCTTTAAATCTCATTCAAATGGTAGAAATTGTGTCTATAGGATTAAATATTGTGTATAAAGATTTTCACCATGTAGAATCATGCCTATACGATTCTAATGAAATATATGTGTTTATATCTATGTTAACCTGAATATCTTAACACCTCTTCTTTTGGGATTTGTATGCTAAGAGTAAAAATCGAATGCTAATGTATCATGAGTGTAGTATTGATGAAATTAATATGACTTCCTATTAACTTGAGTTTCAGTTAGCAAATTTCTGTTGAGTTACCTTAAGTTAATAGTTGGATGTGATCTTCACTACAACAAAAATGGGCTTTAGCGGCAATACAAAATGGCTTTAGCGGCAATAACAATAACCGCTATATCTTTTACTGGCCATTTGTGTTTCGCCGTTGAAGTCAGGGTCAGCAAAGCCTTTAGCGGCTATTGTCACAAAAGGTGGTAAAAGGTATGGTTTATTGCCGCTAAATATTATTATCTTTAACGGCAATTGTTCGCGGCAATTATAATGGCTACTAAATCTAATCCATAACGGCTAATTATACTCCTTTAGCATCCATTTTTATAGCCGCTAAAGTCAAAATAATTGCCGCTAGAAATTTGCATCTTTAACGGCAATTGTTTGCGGCAATTATAATGGCTACTAAATCCAATCCATATCGATTAATTACATTCCTTTAGTATCCATTTTTATAGCCACTTAATTCAAAATAACTAAAAGTTCGTCTTTAACGGCAATTATTTTGTGGCAATTAAAATGGGCATAGTATCCCTTCTGAAAATATCTTAGTTTGCCGTTTTAGCGTCCATTTTATTGGCTATTATGTTAAACTAAATTGCCGCTAAAAGTCAATATCTTTAACGGCAATTATTTTACAGTGATTATAACGGCTGCAATATCCCTTGTGAAAACATCTTAATTTGCCACTTTATCATCCATTTATATAGCTGGTATATCCAACTAAATTTGCGTTAAAAGTCACAAGCGGTAATAGCAATAGTGTAGCCACCATTAATAATAGTTACTGCATTCATCCATAATATGACCCAAATAAGAAAATATATTAATATTAATTCAAAAGAAACATAATATATCTCATTAAATGTTAACAAACATAAGGAATTACTAATATTGATGTCATAGTAACTAAACTTACATTGTTTGAAGGAAATAGCTAATGTCATTATATAACTAATCCAGACGAATGATGGTATTCAAATGATTTCCGCAACTTTTCATCATTTTGAAATATTCCACCTGCTAAATTATCGAACATCAAACTGTATGATCTGAAATTATAAAATAACTGTGTCAGAAGATAAAATACAATGTGAAAAAATATCTTGAAGATTCCATCACTGTCACAATTCATAAACAAGTCATTGTGTGTAATTGGGGATGTCATTTCTTCACCAGCCTCTAAGACAACTCAAATTCCATACAAGTATTTCTCCTTTCATTTGTGCATGTGATAACCACTTACTACTATCTTTCCTTCAGATAACATTGGCCCCCGTGTACAACAGGAATTCAAAGCTCACTCATATGCAGCAGAATTCCCTGGGTAAGACACTTTAAAGCATATGTATCATCACTTATCAGATAATTCTGAATTTTGTGAACCTTAAAAATATTAAGCTATCAGTTTAAATTCCAAATGAACCTGGTGAAACAACAAATTAATATGATTTTATATTGCCAAGTTGGTGTCTCAATTTTTTTTTTTTTAAAAAGCAAATAATTGGTGAGAACAACTAGACAAGGCACGGGTATCTTACCAAATAATGGAGCAAGCTACTGCAACTGTTCAAAATGCACAAAACTATGAAAATGCAGTCTATTATGTCTGCTCCTTGACAAGAGTGGGTTGCTCTAGTGGTAAGCACCCTCCACTTCCAACCAAAAGGTTGTGAGTTCGAGTCACCCCAAGAGCAAGGTGGGGAGTTCTTGGAGGGATGAAGCCGAGAGTTTATCGGAAACAGCCTCTCTACCCCAGGGTAGGGGTAAGGTTTGCGTACACACTACCCTCCCCAGACCCCTCTAGTGGGATTATACTGAGTTGTTGTTGTTGTATGTCTCCTCCTTGACTAGATTTTGCTCCCATGAATAATGGAATATTATTTTGTCCTATGATAGCAGATTCTTAAGATACTGGTACTGAGGACCACAAAATAATAATGATACTGCTTTAGTGCTCAGGCTTGTAAAAGATATATTTGTTTTTTACAATGATTCGGAGGAAAGATTTGACTCAGAACGTAGGAGTAGTTGTAAATAACATATTTGTGTTTTTAATGATACCTGTTGTGAAGAGCCTGCCCAGCAACATGTGGAAAAGGTTTGTAATCAATTCAATATTGGCTCTTCCGTCTCCTTTGGCACAAAGATGAGTAGTACCGTGAGAAGGTTGAGCATTTTCAGCAACACTAGGTATCCTTGATGTTTGTGGTACTCGTTCATGTCCAATGTTGGCATCAGGGATCTAATAAATATTAACATGTTAGATAACAATACTTTTATATGATTAGAATTTCATTAAAAATGTCTAAAGCTTATGTAATGGAATTACTTGTTCACATGAGGTGCCATTGCTACTTTGAGTCATAGATACATTAGGAGCATATCTGCGCATGAATTGTCTCATTTGGAGTAATTCTGATTGCATCTTCTCCTGATTTTGTTTCATCATATTCATTTCTTCATTTTGTTTCTCCTTTAACTTGACTATCTCCTGTTCTAATATTTGTATAACCTCATTAGAAGAATCATCTGCAACAATATTTCCTAAGGAAGACCTATTACCCCATAGAACAGAAGGAGTTGGACCAAGTCCTAAACCACGAACATACCCATATTTGTCATTTTCGAATACTTGGGAATACACATCGCCTTTCCAAGCAACACTGTGAGGAGGTTGGTCAGTAGAGCTCTCACTATTGCTCATCCTTTCATTTACCATTCCTAACAATAGAATACACAATAAATCCAATTTGGAATTTATTTATTCGCTTTTAAGTTTTTTTCCCCTAACTATTTCACAATTTAGAAATTTAATGAAAAAAGAAATCTTACGATTGCCTTGACAGAATGATCATCCAGTAGTCTACCATCCTTACGTTTTGTATGAGTTAATATGAAAATTTGTGCTCGTGTAGGCACTATCCCATTTACAACCTAATACAATAAAATTGATGTAAGATATGCATGAAAAAAAGGATTTTGAAATATTTTAGTTAGTAATTTTACAGATTTACCTGCTCATCCAACTTTGATTGGCCATATTGTTTCGATTTGCTTGGGTACACCTATGTCATTAAAATATTAAAAGGATATCTTATAAATTATAAATAAAAATTGAGCATAACTAAAATCAGAACACTGAAAATAATCAACTAGGGGTGTTTTAAAGATTTGTTGATACCTTAGCTTTATCCGAATTATTGAACTCCCCTTGTCCTCTCTTCTCCTCTGCTCCAAGCCTTAGGTGTCAATTTTCTTCTTGTTTTCCAATATCGTAACACAAGGTATAGGCAAGAGACCATGTTGGTTGCCAGAGAAATTGGTTCAGGTATTGCTATCCAATGCGGAGCTGGCTAGACTAAGCAAGGATCTAGTATGTAGCTTTTTTCCTATGATATGTACATGTGACTCATCATTCATCCTGCTGATTAATTCTATCAATTTTGCAGGCAATACTACGATGTGATCTGCCATCCTACATGGTTCCTTTTGCCCCTGATGACTTGATATTTGAGAAACCAGAGGTGAGTCAATATTAATATGAAGTAGCTTTTCCTCTAGAAATTCACTTATATGGCAGACCATGTTTGCAAGCAATCCTAAGATCTGCAGTAACATGCTAGGCTCATTGAATCTCTACAGACAGTCCTGCACTATATAATTCCTTTTGGTCATATAAAACATCAGGAGGCTACACAAATTAAGCTTACGGTTTACAAGACACTAGAGAAGAATTTCTCCCACTAAATAAATTTCAACTATGAAATGCTACCCACAAGCTCTCTTTTCAAAAATGGGAATTGAGATGTTTTGTGGCTTTGCTATGCCAATTTTGCACATACTGACAACAGTGTTAAACAGAAATATGTGCAAGTAGCAAGTTTATCAGTAGTATTGATGGCTCACTTAGATACATCACAAAATCAATAGAAACCAACAAACACACAAGTGTTTATAGAAAATGCTTCACTGTGTTTAGAAGTTTTCCTACTTACTAAAACCAGACAATTCATGGAGGATTAACAGGCCAAGGGACAAAGAAAAATGGAGTTGTGCTTCCTCATTTTTTGGAAGCTTAACTGTTTATACCTAGTCAATCCAACACTAGGATCAGCTTCTTTATTTGGTGATCACTATGGGAATGACCTTATATCATGTAATTTTTGCTAACTTTATAACTCCGCAAGCTACAAGTACAAAAATCAAAACAAAAATCAAGTAACCAAACGTATGCTACAAGTGTAACATCCAGCTATTACCCAACTTGAATCTGTGTGGTGCTAAGTTAAAGGAAACTAAAAGCTGCAACTAACTTTATTTTTACAACCTTTACACGTTAAGAACTTCTTTCCTACTGAAGATAGTTTCAATTTGATGATCTCTAACTTGAACAGAATAGACTGAATGCAGAGAAAATCGTATAGCTCACTTCAACTAATTGTGTTTTGCAGCGTAGTAAATGGATAATAACATGGAAAACCTTTTAAGTTATCCAGATTGTTGCTCTACGCGTAAGATCCTGTTTACACTGAAAGTAACAAATAACAACAAACTTAAGATATCCCATCATTGTCATTAGATTACTACTACTAGTTTATTTAGCAATGAGGAGCTGCAACTAGTAACGTAGGAACTATATTGTTACCTACTGCATATGGATCAGATTTGCAACTATACATTGTGGTACAAAAACCTACTGGATAAAGGCAGTTGAAACTGCAGCCGTAATAGAAGTTTCAGATACTCTGACAACAGTGATAGGGGATATGCAATTTACCACCAGAAGTGAGGAAATAAGATTTTCTTGTATGCAACGTTGATATAGAAAGTACAGATTGGTACCTGGTAAGAAGAATTTTTCTCCGATCAAGACAAGAAAGTAAAGGAGAATAATGATTTCTGCAGCAATCTTGAAACCTACACGAAAAGAGAAGTTGAAGACAGATGAGAGGGAGAAGATTGACAGGGATGATTGAGCATAATTGAGCAGATTTGGGGAAGATCTGATATATATTGAAGAAAACATGCAAACAGACAAATTAAGTTAAGGGTATTCTCTTTTCTTCTTTAAGTTGTCCAAGTCTATATTGTTGTAATGTTTTCTTCTTTGCATTTATAACAAGGAAAATAACATATAACTTGAATCCATTTTCCATGAAGGGAACGGATTTTAGGAGAAAGTTCAAACTATATCAACCTATTTGCCATAATACTGGAAGTAGTGAATCAATATGGCATCACAACAAAACAAGAAAGTCAAAAGCATGATTAATTTAACTCGGCATTAATCGTCATATGCCCCTAAAGTCCAAAGAGTAGATACCGCCTTCCAGTTGCAACCCATTGACGTATGTAATTTATGTACTGATATTGATTTATTAGCAGTCATGACGGAATTATTCTTACCTTAAACTCCGATATATTCATGCTTCGTAAATCAGAGCTCTCATTCTTAACTAATTTGGGGAAGATTTTGCAAAATTTTGCAGATTTGGGGAAGACAGATGAGAGTGAGAACATTGACAACAGATTTCGCAAAATTTACCTGGGGAAGAAGAGAAAGTTACCTGGGATTTGGGAAGAAGATCGTCGGAGCTGTGGCAGGGCGGAGACTGTCACAGGCCGCAGCGATTTTGTTAACCAGAGACTGTTAACTGGAGCGATTTTGCAGGCCGGAGACTGTCGAAAGGGAATAGGTTTTGTTATCTTTTTTGGCAAAATTCGTATTGGCAGAAGGGAATATGTTTCTTTTTTCTAATTGGAGGGAATGCTTAATTCTTGTCCAAAATATTAGAGGGAAGATTTTATTTTATTTTGTACGGAGAGAAAGTTAAAATAATAAAAATTGGTTTCAGTTAATGATTTTTAGTGGCAATTGTTTTTTAGTGTCACTAAAGAATATCTTTTACTCCCCAATGGTCATATGCTGCTAATATTTCAGCTTAAAAAATTTATTAGCGACAATTACCTTATTGCCGCTGACAAAGGCCTTTTTTGTAGTAATGCTTACATACTCAGTTTAGTTTTTAACTTCCTTTTATCCATATTGTGGATAAAGTGATAGTCAAATTAGAAACCATGTCCTTAGGATTTTGGCAGAGGGTCTATTCAGAAACAGCCTCTGTACCTCTAGGGTAGGGGTAAGGTCTGCGTACACACTACCCTCCCTAGACCCCGCTTATGAAATTATACTAGGTGGTTGTTGTTGTTGTTATGGAAATATTGAAAGTTAGAAAATATTTAGCTTCTTGTTTGGGATAACAAATGATTGGGGTTCTTTGTGTATGGCATAATGATATTTTGAGCAGGTTACATTTTTTGGGATAGTTGTATTTACAAAGAAAACTCTGCCGAAAATTTGAAGAATTTGGAGAGTTAGAAAATTTTCGAGTTATCAAATTGATTATAGTAAGAGACTGGAGCAAGTCTTCATATGTTATGTTCAGAACTTACAAGTCTTCATCTGTTGTTAGCCTCTTTACTCTTCAAATGGGTTGCTTGTATTTTAGTTTGTTATTGCTCTTACATAAGGAAGAATGACAGTAAACATAGTTCAACTTTGTTAGGTAAAGCGTCGATAACGAATCAATTACTTTGTAATTCAAATATCTTAAAATTTTCTTTTTTAATCATTTATTGATCGTCATTTGTAGGTGTAGCGATTGCAGATGAAAGCAGTGATGAAGAACTTACTTGAGTGTTGTTGATCGTTGCTAGACTTTATTATTATGTTCCAGGATATTTTAGTTTAGAAATTTTTTGTATGCAAACTCATCTATTTTAACTTTGAATTATTGATCAAACAATGTATTCATATTTTTTTTTTGTCTATGGATAATGCTGGTTGGATATTTCAATGTTATTTTGTAGTTTATATAAGTTATGGTGTATAAAATTTTGTTGCATGGGAAATATTCCTCATTCTGGAACTATAAATATATGAAATTACTAGACAATATAACCGTTGCAATAGAAAATATAACCGTTGCAATAGACCTAGCAATAATAATAGTAGCCCCTAATACTGTTGCAATAGATCACCAAACCATTACAATATATCACAAAAACCGTCACTATAGCCTTAAAATAGCGTTGACACAAATATATCAGAACAGTTTATAACCATCCCAATAGAACTAAAAACCGTTCCACAAATTGATGCAACAGTTTCATAACCGTTACAGTATCCCTATATGGGAACGATTTTGTAACTGTTACAAATAACCGTTCCAATAGACCTATGGTAACGCTAAATCCCGGAACGAGTCCTAAACCGTCCCAGTAGCCCTATAGGTTCGGTTAATGTATTTACTACAACGGTTTTAGAAGGGTTGCCAAAGGCCTTATTTCTAGTAGTGCATTAGTTACATCATTTATAAGTCTCCAAAATATTACATTACACATTCATAGTTTAGAAGTAGAACATGTGTTACAAATACAACATTCTAGTTTGACTTTCCCAATACTAATATATAAGCCACACTATGTCTACAGAGTCTCTAATGGATACAAAAGAGTACTATGATAGTGCCGGCAATAAGGCCCCAACTATACATCAAAACATAATACACGAGAAATAAAAGATATACGACTCCGAAATGAAGTAGGGCTCACCAAGTCAGCTGGTAGGAGGGTGTACCGATATCACTGATCGATGCTGCCTGCTGTGGAACCACCTGCATCCATTAAAGATGCAGTGCCTCCGACAAAATGGACGTCAGTAAATATGGAATAGTACTAGTATGTAAGGCTAAACACCCTCTCAATAGAACGAGTAACAATACAGGGAGATACAATCATAGGATTAAAATGAAAGCTTCAAATAATACCAAAGCATCAAGTTAGGAGCAACATATGTTTTTGAGTAAATTTAATGTTTTAGGTTGGGAGATATTTAGTACCGATATACCATTTTGATTTTAGCACGGAATACGATCACGGCTCGATCGGCTAGGCCGTCTCACCTAAAGACATCCAATTAGAATCACACTCACCACCATGTGCACGGCATGGTGTCTGATCTTGACCCGATCGGCTAGGCCATCTCACCACAATGTCGTATGGATCGAAATCACCCTTCGCTAGGAATCATCTCATTCCAATTAAGGGAAATAATCTCAACACATCAATCTCATCCCATTTAAGAGAAATATTCTCAACACATTAGTACGGGTATTTACCCCTCAATCACTCCTACACCGGCACATATAGTTTTGGGGTTGGGTTATTTCAACCTACCCTTCCTCAGTGACTAACAATACTCCCAGAATGTTTATTATATAAAGGATTTTCCTCTCATTGCATAATCTTTTTCACACCTTTTCATTTTATTGGAGCTAGCAGCCATAAATGTAATATCATTCTTAGCACGTTGGCCGTATTTTATATTTCATGCTCACCCCTTTCATTTTCAAACATCATCATGGATTATCAACAACCAGGCATTTCTAATCATGAACTTTAAGTACACATATGAACAATTAAGAGTCGTTGAGCACATTGAGTCTTCTCACACAATTTGGCATAATAACTTTTATTTGTAACACGACTTGAAGTCATAACATTTCAATATGCAACACATACTTTGAATACATTCTCAAATGATAGCATAATATGATAAAAGCATTCGGAACAAGTTTTGAATATATATCTTTTGACAAAAAATTTATTCGGAATAGTCAAATTTATAAGGAATAACTCAGAACATGAGAAATAAGAACTTGGCCCATCATACTTGAGACTTACGAGAACATCGTGGGATTTCACTCTAAGAAAGAAGTTTAGCCAACATACCTCGCTTTGAGCTTTTCTTAAATTACTACAATGATCTGGAAATCCTAGCAACTTTGATCTATATAGAGACATAATAAAATTGAACCATAATTAGGAAGATATGCGTGGTTTCAGCTCATTTAACCATTTTATCAAGCACTATGTATGCATTATGATTTTAAGGTTCTCCTATGGTGGATTCCTTCATCCCACAACCCAATATTTACCCATTTGTGCTCAACAACCTTCCCAAAACCTTGTTGGTACATGCATGCATAAATAACACTCTCATATCCAAGAATCATACTCCCCATTACCCTCTTTTACCCCAAATTCGAAATGGAAAGCTAGGACTAGAACCTTACCTCTTTAGAAGACAACTTTGCCAGTTTTCCTTGTGGATCCTCCAAGATTTGAGCAAGGATTGATGAGCAAAATGCTTAGGGATTCCTCCTCTCACTAGAGCACTTTCCTCTCTCTAAAATAGCATTTGGAACCTTCTAAAATAACCCACAAAGTCTTTCTACAAAAAAGGGATCGGGTGAAATTTTCCCAAACTTAAACTTACAAAGCCGGGTCTGAGGTCACAGACCAGACTGCAAAACGAGTATGCGGTCCGCAAAGGGGACCGAAGAAATAGTCCCAAAAACTGGGAGGCCTGGTAAGGTCTGCGGCCGTTATGCGGCCTGCAGAACGGTTATGCGCTTATTTAACGCGCCGTGAAATCTCCGTTCGGAAATTTTCATGCTGCTTTTGCGACGGATTGTGCGGCCCACAAAATGATTATGCGGCTGCATACTTGACCGTGGATGGATGGTCATGTATGTGATGTTGGAAGTTATGAATTATTTAAGAATGATGGTGGGATAAATTATTGGTAAATGGTAGTAGTTGGATGAACTAATTTTATGGGTAAGAGATGTAAACATTCATGCCTACTAGGTGTTTGATAAAATACCTAAATGACCTAAATTATGGAATTTGTTACTAATATTGGTCCAATTGAATTATGTTGATGTAGATTGAAGTTGTAAGAGTAGTAGGTGGTTTTAGTAGCACTAAAGAGCTCCATCAAGGTATGTTGGCTAAACTTTCTCTCTTGGAATTGAACTCCATAATGTTCCCATGAGTTTCAAAGTATGGGTTGCGTATTAAAATGTTGTGGCTTTGAATCGTATTTCAAATGAAAGCTAGTATGCCAAATTGTGTGAGAAAATCTCAATATTCTTAAGACTCTTAATTGCTCATGTGTGTACCTAAAGTCTTGATTGGAAATATCTTATTGTTGATAACCCATAAAGATAACTGGAAGTGAAATAAGTGAATTGGGGATATAAAGTGTGGCCAACGTGCCAATAGTGAAAGTTATACTTATGGCCAATGGTGCCAATGAAATGAAATAAATGTGAGAAAGATTATGAAATGAGCTTTGACTCAACTATTCCAAAATTGACTTCGATAAACTAATTGGCTAAAAGCTTATGAACTCAAGTGATGCCCATATGTGGCTGTTCTAGCTAATATTATGCTTTGTAAGTATTTTTCAATGTGTTTTGTGTTTTTACATATTCGTGAGTAGAAATTGTGTATGATTTTAACTTCTGCTTCAATTGCCAATCATTTTACTCCATTTATTGGAAAGCAATCTATTGTGTTTAAAGCCTTCATTACTAATGAACTTAAAGTTGTGATTTTCGGAATATTCTACTTGTTGATAATTATGATGATGATCTATGAAAGGGAAGAAATAAAAGTGTGGAATATGAAATGCGGCCATTGCGCCATGAATAAAGAATCATATGTATGGCCAAGAGAGCCAATGAAATAATAATGTTGTAAGTGGTTGAAAGTATGGACTAAGTGATATATGATATAAAAGGTTATGAGATGCACGTATGTGTACCTTTATTTCCAATGTGTTATGAAACCCTATGGACGGTCTATGAAACACATATGTATATGGTGTTATGAAACCCTATAGATGGTCTATGA